CTCTCTTAGGGTACTCTTTGTTTACTAGCATTTCCGGCAGTGTGGATTGTAGGCTGGTAATCCTTTACTCTGTGTCTAAAATCCACTCATGTGGAGTGAGTATATATCATGTTTGTCTTTTTGTTTTTGGGTTACCTCGCTCAGAATGGTTTCTTCTAGTTCCATCCATTTTCCAGCAAATTTCAATATTTCATTGTTTTTTCCTCTGAGTAGTACTCCATTGGGTAAATGTACCACATTTTCTCTATCCATTCTTCGGTAGAGGGGCATCTAGGCTGCTTCCAGTTTCTGGCTATTACAAATAGTGCTGCTATGAACATCATTGAACAGATGTCCTTGTTGTATGAATGTGCTTCTTTTGGGTATATGCCTAGGAGTGGAATTGATGGATCTTGTGGTAGTCTCATTCCCATTTACACTGTTAAATCTTAATCCTCTTTAGACTAAAAGAGGAATTGTAGGGGGAAATGCTAACCACGCCCACTTGGGGCTGGACACAGGTAAGGCTGACTGCACCTGCTTGGGCGTGGTCAAAGTGACATAGCAAGGGTAACTATCAGAGACACACGCAAGCAGCCATCTTTTTCCCACTCCCACCTGACTGAACAGACGAGCAGGCATCTGGTGTAAACCTGGTCACTGGCTCTGTTGCATGAGTACTTTCCTAATAAACTATCTGTTATCAATCCAGTTCTGACTCCAGCTTGCGTTCCGCATTAAGGAAGCATCCATCATTCCTCCATTGGCTCTGCCTTAGTTCCCATGGGTTAAAATAATGATACAAATAAAGAACAACATTAGAGAAAAATCAATGAATCAAAGGAATATTATTCAAAGTTATTAATGGTATTGACAAACTTTAATGAGATTAACTCTTTTTAAAAAAAATTAACACTATTGGCCGGGTGGTGGTCTCACACAACTTTAATCCCAGCACTCAGGAGGCAGAGGAAGGTGGATCTCTGTGATTTCCAGGCTAGCCTGTTCTACAGAGCTAGTTCCAGGAAGCCAGAACTACACAGAGAAACTCAGTCTCAAAAAAGAACAAAAAAACAAAAAAACAAAAAAAACAGCATATCTAACAGAAAGATTAGCATTACTAATTCTAGAAGTGAAATGTGAGACCTTATTCTCCATTCTACAGAATATTAAGAATTCCATGAGTATTCAATAGTTATGTTGAAGTGAGCTAGATGAAGCAGACAAATTCCTAGAAGCCCATAACCTACTGAGATGGAAGCAGAAGAGACACAAAACTGATTCCATGTATAACACATAACTGAAATCAATAGAGACATTTGACAAGGTGAACAGGTTTTAATGATGGAAACAACCAAACTAGGTGTACACTGTAGGCCGGTGCAATATTGGTGCATGTGGAAACCGACAGGCAACTCATGTGGAAGCCCACAGGCAACTCGGTACTCAGTGGGGACACTGACAGCTTTCCTTCTAGGACCAGGATCAACACCAGGATGCTGCTGTGGACACTTCTGCTCAGCATTCCTTCAGGAGTCCTAGACAGAACAATTTGGCAAGACAAAGAAATGATAAGTGGCCAATCAATCAGCTATAAAATACATATATATATATATATATATATATATATATATATATATATAGCCACTCTCATGATGAAACAGTGTGCCCTTCCATGAAGGATTTCATGCCTGTATATCACACTGTGGATAAAAACTATTTAGGAAGCAGTTATATCCACAGAAGAAGCATGGGATGTCCCTTCTCCATGCACATGGATGACGGTTGTCCAGAAAGCATTGTTGTTAGGGGAAACTATCGGAGCATACGAGAGGGTTTCATCTCTATGCGCACACTGCACCATTTAACAGGGGACTCAGAGAATACAGAAGTCTGGGCAGGTCCTAAAGTTAATTTCCACAGATTCCTAGGGTTGGCTATATATTTGATCCACAACCTAAGCTCTTAACCCCTTTGCAGTATTGATCGCCATGTCTACGAGTTAAGGTTAGATATGAACAAGGGCCTGACCTGGGGCTGGGGAGCTGCTCAGATCAGCAGCATCTGTTTGTTACTTGTGTCCTATGGAAGAGAATTCTCTAGGCTGGATCCCTGGGGACAAGGAGCTGCCTGGAGAACCATCTCCTCCGTCCTTCCCCTTGGGGATCTGACATTCCTATGAAGTCTCGTAAATCCATCTGAATACTTGGTTTATGTCATGGCACCTGTCCACTGAGCCTCAGGAGAAGATGTCCAAGCTATGAACTTCAGCTGTCATGGCGGTACACAGCAGGTTCCCACACTCTGTGGAACTTGGCCAGCCAGTAAAACCTTGTTCCCTGTGAGCACTGACAAGAAGTAAGATTCTAGCCTTGAGGATTCGCTCTCTGGGGTCTACTACAGTTGAGTCTACACAGAAACCTGGAGGTGGGGCTTCCAAACTCTCACCTCACTGATTCAATAGTGAGCTGGGCAGTGGCCGGTGGCTGCCTACAGGCTAAAGGGAGGGAGGAATGGAAGAGAGACCAATTCATTAATATTGAGATATACATTGTCTCTGGTAAAAAGGCAGAGCCCTGTGTACTGAGAAGCTTAGGTCCATCAGTCAGTGATGTGGGTGGGAGTGTCTGCACAACTCAGAAGAAATAAGAAAATCACCTCCATGGCCTCAGGGCATCTGACTGTGTCACTTCCTCTTGTGTGACTCTCCTCAGGTGTCTCCATGCTCAGTGTCCTCACAAGCCTGCTCACACACAGAATGTGTGAGGGATGGGGTGCCTTCCCTCACTTCTTCTTCTACAGACCCCGAGTCTTCACTCTCTGACCTCTTTGACCTCCTTCCTCTCTGGATGCAGTCAACCCCTGACTTCCCTTAGTCATGGCTTGCTAGTGTATCTCCCAGTCCACTAGACCTGGGTGGGGCCTTGTTAGGAAAAACTAGCTTGATCTTCCTGGAAGGCTGGATACCTGGACAAGCTCAGACACATGTGGGTGGATGGAAGAACGAATGTCCATGGATTTGCATGTCCAGGTGTTTATGAAATTCTCATGTGTGGAGCTACTGACACCAGCTACAACTCCAGCTTACACTACCTTATGCATGGGTGGTGTTTGAGGTGTTTGTGCAGGAGCAGGTTATGGCATCCTGTGTGTATAGATGAATGCAAGTAGCAGCACCTAGATGGAAATCAGCTTAGGAGATTCCAGCCATTCTCTGAGCACCCTTCCCCACACACTGTCAGGCAGTGTTCTCCTCACCTGCAAACAGGAGCCGGTACCAAGGGCTGCACCCTTTGCAGGGAAGTACACAATGGCCCCCATGGTGACTGCAGCCTGCTCTGCCCTCCCTCTGTGGAGAACAACTTTTGCTCCCATGCTTACCTAAATCTCTGCAGCCTCTGAGCTCAGCCTCCAGACAGGCAGGAGCTCTTCCCAGGGTAATGCTGACTGTCAGGGATAATGCCCAAGGACCTGCTCTGTCCCTTACACACTTTGACCTGCCTGGTGTCCCAATTGCCTTTTCTGTGTGTGAGTTGCAGTCCTCCAGACCACACAGTGAGCAAGGAGGCTGATACTCATTTCTGTGTCCTAGGACAACAACAGCTCACCCCAGGGCTGCCCCTCAGCAATGTTCTTACAACTTGTCCTTTATGATATGGATCCTAGCAGAGCCCCTAGTCTGCCCCGTGTCCTCAATGCTCTGATAAGTTGGGATTTACTCCCCACAGAAAGGTGACATAGATGTCTATGAAATCTGGAAAGGGGCCAACTGAGTGATGCCTGGGAAGGGGGACAGACCCACTCCCAATGGAGTCAGCAGTCAGGGTACATTTTCATGAAGCCTAGGAGTTGTGTGAGGTGATTTATGTGGGTGTCAAGCAGGAGGAGACCTGAGTCCTGGTGAGGGGTCGGTGGCTCCTTGATCCTAGGGAGAGTATCAGAGGGACCCTCCATCTTCCTGTGATGGCTGAGCCATGCTTTTGGTTCCTCCATGTCCTTCCTGGGATGCATCTGTCCTCTCTCTAAGGGAATTCCCCATGGGAGGGGCCTGAGGATGGGGTGGTAACACGGTATCCTTTGGTAGACTCCTGTACTTAAAAACACAGGAAGCAGCCAGCAGGTCTGAGAAGGCTGTCAGTGACCACTAGGTGGGTAAGGACAGGGTGGAAGCTAGGATGCAATTAAGCTCATGGCTCCTGGAAACACATTTTTGGTTGTTGTGTGGACTTCTATCGCTGTCTAGTGGTTACTAAGGGAACTGCAGCTCATGTCTGGGTGATGTGCAGTTTAGCAGCTCTGCCACCATTTGCCTACGGGAGAGAAATTCCCTCATCTGGACCCCCAGAGAACAAGCAATTCCAAGGTGGACATGTGCCCTTTGTTCCTCTCCTGGGGGCTCTGAACTTCCAGTGAGAGATACATAAGTCCATCAGGACACTTAGCAAAAGGCCCGGGCCCCTGACCAGCAATATGCTTGCTGCTGAGTCTCTGAAGGTGCTGGGTGACCTAGCACAACTATGACTTACATGGAAGCCCAGAGGCTGGGTCCACAAACCAATAAAGCCTTGTCTCCTGTCAGCTCTGATAGGTAGTACAAGCCAACTAGTGGCAAAAATCTCCCCAGTGTCACCTGAAATCTAACCAGGGAAAGAGGTTTGCAGTCAGGGCTTCCTGGTGTCTCTTTGAGGATCCTCACTGACTTCCTCAGTCACGGCCTGCCTGTCTCCCACAGAGTCTTTCTCAGAGCCATGTGCACTGTGAGAGCCCCAAGTGTCTGGACTGAGGCTGACATGCTAAGTTTGAGTTTACCAAGCACAGATCCTCCACTCTGCAGGTAAAGACAGGTGAGAATAATGATCTATTGTAGTTTGTCTACCCAATGTGTGTCTAGCAGTAAGGGCCCAAACCTCAGTGTGAGGACACAATGCAGTGGGGGAGAGAGCGGGCACAGCCCAGTCCTGCAGTCCAGTGTATGAAGTAAGATAAGCCACACCCAGCATCTGGAGGCCATAAAGAGTCAGTCACTTACTGTACACGTGGATTTGCACATGTGCCGTTTCAATTTTCAAATCTTTCTTTAAAACTTGAAATGTGTACAGGCCCGAGTCTGTCTCGGTGACATTCCTAAGCAGGAGGGATCCGTTGGGGTACAATGTCTCTCTTCCACTGCGGGCATGCCCCCGGGTGATGGAATTCGTGGCCCGGCTGTATTCTGCAATTCTAAAGATCTGGATGTCATACACTCCTTTGTACCAGGAAAAGGTTCTCCAATCGTCTGGCAGATTGTGAACGAGGAGAAGAACTCTTTGCCCTTCAGCAGCATGCCGTGATCACACGGGGGCCACTGAACTTGGTAGGAAGACGGCAATCTCCATCCTGTCCTGATGAGTTCATCACTCAGCCTGGAGATGCAGGGGTGTGTGTGTCTATCCTACTTGGGGGAGGCCAAAAATATGACTTCCGTTTCCTCAGTACCCCGAATGTGCCATTTCTCTGCATACCCCTCTCCCCTCATGTGTTGACATGGCTGCTCCTCACTGCCCTCAGTCAGACACACTCACACTCATGCACACTAAGGTTTGAGATAATGCCTCCCCTGACCTTTGCTCTACAAACCCTGGATCTACACTTTCAACCTTTTTCTCAGTTTCCTTTGTAGCTACCATTAACCTATGACTTCACCTTCTAGATGGCCTCATTGCTCTGCCCTGCAGCCCCCAGAACTAGCGCTGAGTGAAGACAAGAGCGCTATGGTCTTCTTGGCAGGCGCAGGCATTGGAAAAGGCTCAGGAACTAGTCTGGCTAGCATTTTGTCAACTTGACACAAGCTACAGTCAGTTTCTCAGAGGGAGGATCAAATAAAAATGCCACCAACAAATTGGCCTTTTGGGAAACCTAGGGGGCATTTTAATCCAGTGATTGATATGGGAAGGTCCAACCCAATGACAGCATGTCCAGCCCTAGGTTAGTGGTCCTAAGTGCGACAAAAAGTGGCTGAAACGGATAACCATACTACAATCCATAGCTCCAGAGAAGATAATTAACAAGGACGACCCTAAGAGGGACACATGGGTCACCCTGGGAAGAGAAATTAGATGAGATATTTAGGGCCAACTGGGGGTAGGGGGTGGTAAGGGGAAGGGTAGGAGATGAGAACAGGATGGATGAGATGGCTGAGCCAGGGAGGGATGCAGTGGGAGAGCAATGAAAGAGATATCCTAATAGAGAGAGCCACTATGGCCTTAGGGAGAAACCTAGTGCCAGAGTAACTCCCAGCTAAGAATCCTAGCAATGGTAGAGAGGATGCTCTAACTGGCCTACTCCTGCAATCAGATTGATAAATACCACAACTATCATCATAGAGCCTTCATTCAGTAACTGATGGAACCAGCTGCAGAGATCCACAACCAAGAATTCCGCAAACCTCTGGGAATCCAGGTGGAGAGAGGGAAGAAAGGGTGTGTGAGCAAGGGAAGTCAAGATCATGTTGGAGAAATCTACAGAGGCAGCTGAACCAAGCTCGAGGAAACTCAGGAACTCTAGACCTAACAGTTGTGGAGACTACTGGGAAATGAACTAGGCCCTCCTTATGTGGGAGACAGTTGTGAAGCTTGAACTATCAGAGGGGCCCTTGGCAGTAGGACCACACTTACAAACCTGGTACATGAGCTAGCTTGTTGGAGCCCATTCCCTATGGTGGGATGCTGTGTTCAACCTTAATGCATGGGAGAAGGGCATGACCCTACCCCCAAGCTATTGTGTCAGACTGCTGACTCCCCATTGGAGCACTTATCCACGAAGAGGAGTGGACTGGGTGTGGGCTAGGGGAGAGTGAGGGGGTAGGAGGAAGTAAGGGGGCAAGAGGAGGGGAGGAGGGAGAACTATGGTTAAATGGAAAATAAAACCAAAACTTAAAAACTGTAAAAAAAAAAAGGGGGGGGGGCAATGGAGAGATTGCTCAGCAATTAAGAGCACTGCCCTTCCAGAGGTCCTGAGTTCAATTGCCAGCAACCACATGGTGGCTCACAGCCATCTATAATGAGATCTGGTGCCCTCTGCTGGCCTGCAGGTTTACATGCAGACAGAACACTATACAAAATAAATAAATCTGAAGAAGGAGGAGGAGGAGGAGCAGGAGGAGGAGCAGGAGGAGGAGCAGGAGGAGGAGGAGGAGGAGGAACGGGAGGAGGAGGAGGAGGAGGAAGAAGAAGAAGAAGAAGAAGAAGAAGAAGAAGAAGAAGAAGAAGAAGAAGAAGAAGAAGAAGAAGAAGAAGAAGAAGAAGAAGAAGAAGAAGAAGAAGAAGAAGAAGAAGAAGAAGAAGAAGCAGGCTGAGCAACCCTTGAGGAGCAGAGCAGTAAGCAGGACTCCTCTATTCTCTCTGCATTAATTAATTGCTGGGCTTATTTATGAAAGTCTCATGTTCAGAGCTACTAAAGCCACAGTTTGACATGCATGGCCAAAACCCATTCTTCCCTGTCAACTCTGAAAGAAAGTGAGATACCAGACCAGGCAAAATGCTCCCCGGCGTCACTTGTAGTTGAGTTGTAGATGACAGGGGCCAGGGCTTCCTGGTGCTCAACTCTCGGTGAGGTTGCCATGGTTTCCTCATTTGCATGCCTAGAAGCTCAGGAGACTGAGCTGACTCTAACATCTTAGTCTGAGTTACTGGGCTTCCTGGTGCTCAACCCTCGGTGAGGTTGCCATGGTTTCCTCACTTGCATGGCTAGAAGCTCAGGAGACTGAGCTGACTCTAACATCTTAGTCTGAGTTACTTTCCAACAAGGTCTACATTGTTGGAAAGGGAGAGTCAGATGATGGGGTCTGATCTATTGTCATTTGTCTCCACTATGTGTGTCCTGCACTAAGTGCTCAAACTCCACCATGGGAACGAGGTGCAGGAAGAAGGTAGGCAAAGGCCAGGCATGACAGTCCCGCGTGTCTAAGTCTCACCCAGCAGAGAATGATCACAGACAATCACTTACTGTCCACATGGAGTTGCACGTGTGCTAATTCTACTTTCAGGTCTCTACTCAGAGTTCGCAGGGTGTAGAATCCGGTGTCTTTCCAGGTGACATTGTGGAGCAGCAGGGATCCATTGCTGTACAGAGTCTCTCGACCACTGTGGGCAGGGCCTGGCACACTTGAATTCTTGGCTACTATGTGCCTGGCAACTTCCAGATTGTTTAACACAATCACACCCCTGTGCCAGAACAGGGCTCTAAGGTTCTCTGGGAGATTGTGAACGAGTAGAAGAACGCTCCCCCCTTCAGCAACACTGGGTGGCACTGATTCAATAGTGAGCTGGGCAGAGGTGGGAGGGCCCCCACAGAAGACAGGAGAGACTAGAAGGGAAGAGAGAAATATCCGTCAGTATTGGGACCTTTGTATTTGACCAAAAGGGGGCCGAGAGCAGATGTGTCCTTGCACAGCCTAGGCGTGGGGATGTGTGTCTCCCTGTCCTACGTGGTGGTGTTCAGCACACAATATTCATGTTCTCAGTGTCCCACACTTGTCATTTCTACTCTTTCCTTTGCTGTCAGCATCTCTCTAGCTCACAGCCATCAGAGCCCTGCTCACCTTTACAATGGATGAGTGTTGGGGTGACGCCTGCCTGACCTCTTCCGCTATAGACCCTGTGTCTTCCCTCTCTGACTCTTTGTTGTTCTGTTCCTCTTGTGGTTCCAGTCAGTATCTGACTTCACCTTCTGGCTTCTTTACTGCTCTGGCTTCCAGTCAACTAGCACTGGGGCTGCATGAGAACTGAGATTTGTCTTATATTTTTAAATAAATACTGCCTAGAAAAGCTCCAATACCTATGGAGAATGAATGGATGATGTCCCAGGACACTGTACATCCATGGATTTATTTAAGAAATTCACAGATTTGGGGATAGAGCTGAATTTTTCCATTTGCTTTCCCTTTCCATTTTCCATTTTGCACTCATTTGTATTTTTGTGTGAGACTGGGGGCAAGGTCATGTCACGGGGTGTGGCGGTTGATGCAGGTACCTAGTTAGATGTCAGAGAACAATTCCATCACTGAATCTCAGGGTGAGAGAGTGGAGTCTGGGACAGAGGTCTGGAACCAGGGCATCCTGTTGCTCACCTCTTCCTGACGAACCAATGTTTTTCTCAACCAGGACCAATGTCTTCCCCAAGGACATATTCCTGGGAGAACTCCAAGAGTCTACACAAAGGCTGGCATCCTTGGCTGAGCTACCCACCATGCATCCACCTGTCTGCAAGGATTCTGATCCACTGCAGTTATTCACCATGGTGTGTGTCCTACACTAGATGCTCAAACCCCAACATGACAACACAATGGAGAAGGGAAGTAGACACAGGCCGGGCCTGATGATTCTCTGTGTGGCCAGTGGAATGAACCCCACCCAGAACCCAGAGTTCACACAGAGTCACTTACTGTACACATGGAGGTGGATGGTGGTTATGGATACAGTTCTTCCATTTTTATTTATGGTTCGTAGGCTGTAGAGTCCTGTGTCCTCGTGGGTGACATTGGAAATCCACAGGGATCCATTTCGGTACAATGTCTCTCTACCACTGTGTAAGGGCCCCGGCACTCTTAAGTTGGTGTTCAATTCATAAAGTGCAATTCCTCGTTTCATATTTGTCACCCCTTTGAACCAAACAAAGGCTAGAAGATTCTCTGGCAGATTTCGGACTTGGAGAAGGACATTGTCTCCTTCGAACACATTGAGTGGCACTGATTCAATGGTGACTTCGGCATTGGTGGGTGAATGACAACAGATTAAAAGCAAGGCTACAAGGAAAAGAGAGAAAAAAACAGTATTGAGTGGGTGTCATCCTGACTCAGCTTACATGTCTGGCTAGCTGTGTGCCCACCCTCCCTGATGGGGATGAGCAACACGACCTCCATTCTCTCAGAGCCTCTGATGGTGTCCTTTCCTCTCTGTGGAATAATCGGCTCACTTGCCTGTGTGCCCCCCTCAGTGCCCCCATACACATAAAGAGTATTTAGAGTTGACCCTTGCCCCATCTCTTGGGGACCATGTCCCTGTGGAGGGGTACTCTCTAGATACACGGTGGAGCACCCAGGCCCTGCCCCAAATGATATGACAGACTTTGATGATCCACCAGGGGAGGCCTCGGCCTCCCTGGGGTGTAGACAGGGAAGGAGAGATGGGGGGTTGGGAGAGGGAACCCAGATTGGTTTGTAAAATAAGATAGTTTTGATTTTAAATAAAAAGGAGTGTTTGGTGTGAGGAAACCACTGCAACCTCCTCCTTTTGAGGACCCTTACTCTCTGACTTCTCCCCTCTGTTCCCTTTGTGTTTTCAGTCAGCCCCTGACGTCAGCTTCCTGCTGCCCTGACTTCCAGTATGATAGAACCGGGGCTTTGTGAGAACATGGATCATTAGTGTGACTTTTGAGGAAGATTAGTTCCTGGGAAGGATTCCTGCACCTTTACAGAAAGGAGAGAAGGAAGGAGTGAAGGAGCATGGGAAGAAATGGTGTCTCCATGGCGTCATCTACACAGGCGATGGTTTGGACTGAATGGCAATGATGATAATCAAGTTTGATTTAATGAATTTACATTTACTTTATACTGCATGTGTGGATTTCTAAAGGCACACGTGTCAGTGTGCGCATGTGCAGGTCCACGCCAGAGCATCCATGTAGAGGGCAGAGAAGAGGCTGCAGGAGTCTGTCCTGTCCATCTACCTCGTGGGAGCTGAGGACTGAGTTCAGGTTGTCATGTCTCCACACACTGAGCCATCTCGTTGGCCCATCCCTGTTGATTTACGTTTGCAGTCACCCTGTCTTGACTGGGGACATCAGGCTTCAGAACATGGCAGCCAATGGGGTTGAATTTGAGTGGGAATTGACTGGGGACTTTCTCTTCTCATCACCTCCTGTCCACTCAGAGCTTCAGGAGGCTGAGCCTCTGTCCCTCACAGTCCCTTCTGCCCCATGACTGTGAACAGACACCTTGAGCCCCCTTTTGAGTACCTGTCCTCTTTAGAAGACTCCAGCCTGCCTCTGAGTTCCCTCTAGCCACACAGTCAAAGAGTGGGTACACTTACCCGAGAGCAGGAGCCCCTGCCAGGGATTGCGCCCTTTGCAGAGAAGCAGGGAGGACACCCCCATCTCTTTTCTCACTGTGCAGTCAGAACTTCAGCTCCAACACAGCCCCGAGGCTCTGATGTCTTTCCTCCTGCTGGGATGAGCAGTCTCCAAGGGTGGAGCACTTCCAAGAATTCAAGGGCTCTAGGTGGTGGGGTCTGTGTCCAAGGTACTGCTCTGTTCCTTCCACTCTCAGTGCTGTCCCACATTCCTCTCAACTTTATGTCTTTGCATTTCACCTTGAAGCAATACATGAGCAACAAGGCTGATAAGCATCCCCATGCCCTCAGGGGACAATGGCTCATTCCAGGGCTGACATCTGCTGTGTCCTTGCCTTGGGTCTGTCATCACCCAAGAGGGAGCCACCATCCTGCCTAGGCTTCCCTGCCACACAGAGACCCAGCTGAGCACCCAGTCTGCCCTATGTCCTCAGAACCCTGGGAAGGTGGGATTTACTCCCAGCCGGAAAGGGACACAGATGTCTCTGAGGACTACAAAGGGACCAGCTGAGTGATGACTAGTGATGAAGATCAATTCTGTATGACTCATGTCACTTATCCAGGATGGAGATCCAGGAAACATTGTGTAAGAAGTTCCATGACCTCAGTATTGGGGTTGGGGTGACCTGCATGTCCTTGAAAGGGCTGTGGGCTCCCTCATTCTATGTACGGTTCTGAGGCAACCTTAAGCATTATGGTGGCTGATCTGGGTGCTGGTGAGCCGAAGTCCTCCCTGAACTTGCTGGGTGACCACAGCTCTTGGCTAGGTGATTCCCTGGTGGTAATCCTGTCTTCACTCATGGAGATGCCAGTACAGAGGGTGTCTTCAGGCTCCCCGTGCATAAAGATTTTCTCACACACATGAAGTAGCCAGTAGGTCAGAACAGGGTCTCCGCAGAAAGCTCTGGATTAGTGGATGAAGGGATGGAAATGAGTCTCCTATGAAAATGCATGGCTAGGGAAATAATTTTCTGAGGCTTAAGCATGTGTCCTAATATCGAACCCTGGGGATCACTGGGAGAACTGCTGTCTCATGCCTAGGGCTACTGTAGGCAAGGTCAACAAGTTAAATGTGAACTACCCTGATACCCTCAGTGCAGGTGGGATGTAGGACCTGTTATCCTGCTCCCTGTGCTCTTCAGAACTCCTAATTCCATCTAGTAGGGTGGGTCTAAGCAAGGATTCAGATTTTCTTAGGAAGCCCTTGGCTAAACCTTAATAGTGTAATCCCAATGACAGGGACCCTCAGGAGGAGCCCTGTGCTGGAACATTTTCAGAGGAATGTCCCAGAACATTCCTTTGGAGACTCCAAGGAAAGGACACTAATGTAGGGGCTGCAATGCCCTTTCTGTCCATCACTGGTGTCTAAATGCTTCCTTCTCAGGAAGGTTGCTGAGGGGCTCTCATCTCTAGTACAGAGAACATTGATTCAAATGCTTGTGTCTTCTGCTCTTCACACACTGTGCTACTTCTTTCTCTTGTTATGATAAAAAGCATGAGTAACAGCAGTTTAGGGGAGAGCAAAGGGTCCATTTCCTTCTGGGGCTGTGTCATATTGTAGCCCTGATGGGAATCAAGGCAGAAAACACACTGCTTGATGCCCAATTTGCTGATTCCCTCTCTGGCTCATGCTTAGCTAGCTTTCCCATACAACCAAGGACCATACGCCTAGGGACGGTGCTACCCACAGTGGCCTGGATCCTCCTGCATCAATTAAGACAAAACTCCCAATGTGTGATGGTGTAATTACAGGGATCCACTTACCAAGACATGGAGCATTCTTCACTAAGGTCCTATAGAGGCCAGTGGTAGAGTTATGGACATGGGAGATGTAGGTCTGCTGTTATTATTAGTGGGGGTGGGGATAAAGGGCTTGTAAGGGGAGGACTGTGGCTTTTTATTGATGACACCAGAATCTTGTGTAGGTGGACAAGAGGCTGCATGGCAAGGCCTGTTGCAATTCAACCTGGCTGGAAATGAGTATTTAAGAGGGATATGCTAGGGACATTTGGACCATCTGGAGCAAACAGAAGAAAGCCACATGTGATGTCAGCAGAGGGAAGAGGAAATCCTGATCTGCACAAAGCCATGGTGTCTCTTTATCTGCACTGTAACATTAGATGAACAGCTACTATTCAGAGCCTGGTGCAGATTAGTGGAAGAGCATTCATGCAGCATGCCGAAGTCCCGATCCAGCTCGGGTACAGCACAGAAACAGCCCCATTGCACACTCATGTGTGCACTGAGCCTGAGTCTGAGATGTCTCTTATTTGTCCATCACCCTGAGCCTCTCTAGGCAGGAGAAGTCCCTCCACCCTATTGTAGCTCAATGCTGGGCCTGGGGTGCTTGGGCTAGGCCAGGATGCTCTGACCAACCTAGGCTTCTGTGTGTTGGGTCTGTGTCACCAACCCAAGAGGGACCGAGGTCCTAGCTCTAGCCCTCCATACTTAGGTAGTTGTAGCCATGATGAAACAGAAATTACTCACAGGTAATGTTCAGGTTGAATGGGCCACTTAAGGAGGTGCTCACTGGGTTCAAGGGTCCACATTCATAGGTTCCTGTGTCCGTTGTGAGTAAGTGAATACACTTGCTCTCTGACAACTTCAGCCTTTCCCCTTCTGTGAGACTTTGACCATTTTTCCTCCACAGGTGGGTTGTATTTTGACTCTCATGTACATTTTCTAAGGCTGCAACACTTAACCTCCATGGGGTTAGAATTGTTCCTTGTGTTGGTGGCCTTGGGTCGTGGTGCTGTGCAGACAACAGGGAAAAGATGCCCCTGTGGGACCTCTAATCCTTGCAAAGGCCTCTTTCAGCCACTGTGAGTCTTTCTAAGCCCCACCCCGATCCATGTCCTAGAGAACCAGGCAGAAAATGACTCAGAAGCAGATGCAGGTGGACCTCCTTGCTGTGTAGTGAAAAAGGGTGTTTGCCATGTATGAGCTGAGCTGCAGAGCTCCAAGGTACAGATACAGGACCTGGACTCAGAGCCCCATTGTCTCTCCTGGTCCTTACTGACACACTGCCTACCTTGTACTGTGGAATGTCATTCCCCTTCAGCCTCACTGACCACCATCGCTAGGCCTGGGCCAGAGCCTTCCAATGCCTTGCTCTTCACAGAAGTCCTACCAATGGGAAGAATCTGACTTCCCATTGAGCTTCCCTCAGAAGCACCCATCCTCAGGACTTGATGTGTGTACACTAATCTCACACTCGAGATCATGAGTGGTCCTGGTATTCAACTGGACCATAACATGGACCACTCTTCCAGGTGTTTGATGGTGTCTGACATGAGGTACAGAGCTTAAAGGGGGGAAAGGATCGATCTCAGAGTGACGTAGGAGAGTGAAGGATAAGGATACAGATGGGCTTGAAACAGAACCGTTATTTTCTCCCTGGCCTATAAGGCCTTGTCTCCCACAGGTGAGGACCACGCAGCGATATGTCCGGAAATTCAGGTGGTCGTTTTCTTTCTTTTATTTTTTTTTTGTGTATATGGTTACTCTGGCTTCATGTGTATCTGTGACCACAAGTCTACCTGCTGCCCTCACAAGCAAGAGGGCACTGAGTCACTTGGAAATGGAGTTCCAGATGGTTATAAGCTACCATATGTGTGCTGTGAACTAAACTTGGAGCATCCAAGAGCTCTTAACCACTGAGCCATCTCTCTAGTCTTTCCTCGTAGATGTTGTCAGAGGCAGATCTGACTGGTAGAAGGTAGAAAGAAAGACCTTGCTGGAACTCTGGCTGGAAGAAACAGGTGTGTTTGGCACATCTGGGCTAGGGATATGGGACACTGACGTTCTCCATATGAGATCATTGTTACCAATACCCAGAATCTAAGGCCAGTCCCTTAAAGACTTTAGATTTTAAAGACTTTAGATTTCTCTAAAGAACACAATGAGCTGTGATAGCAGATGCTAAGTTAGAGATGGACCATAACATGGACCACTCTTCCAGGTGTTTGATGGTGTCTGACATGAGGTACAGAGCTTAAAGGGGGGAAAGGATCGATCTCAGAGTGACGTAGGAGAGTGAAGGATAAGGATACAGATGGGCTTGAAACAGAACCGTTATTTTCTCCCTGGCCTATAAGGCCTTGTCTCCCACAGGTGAGGACCACGCAGCGATATGTCCGGAAATTCAGGTGGTCGTTTTCTTTCTTTTATTTTTTTTTTGTGTATATGGTTACTCTGGCTTCATGTGTATCTGTGACCACAAGTCTACCTGCTGCCCTCACAAGCAAGAGGGCACTGAGTCACTTGGAAATGGAGTTCCAGATGGTTATAAGCTACCATATGTGTGCTGTGAACTAAACTTGGAGCATCCAAGAGCTCTTAACCACTGAGCCATCTCTCCAGTCTTTCCTCGTAGATGTTGTCAGAGGCAGATCTGACTGGTAGAAGGTAGAAAGAAAGACCTTGCTGGAACTCTGGCTGGAAGAAACAGGTGTGTTTGGCACATCTGGGCTAGGGATATGGGACACTGACGTTCTCCATATGAGATCATTGTTACCAATACCCAGAATCTAAGGCCAGTCCCTGCAAGGATTATTTCTCTAAAGAACACAATGAGCTGTGATAGCAGATGCTAAGTTAGAGACTCCCTGAAAATAGCTCCATGTTAAATGCAAGATCTATAGGAAGGGACGCAGCAAAGCACTGTCCTTCACCTTCCAGGAGCAATGACAGTGGCATACCAGAAAACACGCGCTTTCCTATCTAGCACATGGATTGCAGAGTCTTTGAATTCAGCAGAAATTCTCAAGAGGCAGGTGACTTAATGATGGAGTCAAATCTACAGCAGACATGGAAACAAGTCAAATGTGAACTCCACTGATACCCTCAGCACAGGCGGGATATGGAACCTGTCATCCTGCTCCCTGTGATCTTCAGAATTCCTAATTCCATCTAGTAGGGTGGGTCCATTGGTTTTCATGTCCTGGACAATATGTCCCCTCTAGCAGCAAATGACCAAGATTAACATCTGTGAAAAACAGCTCCTCTCCCTCCACAGACATCCAA